CAGCAGAAGCAGGTGCTAATTGTTCCCTCTCACATGGAAAGTTCTCTACAGTTTTTTTGCTAAACAAGTATCTAACACTCACTCAAAACAGTTTAAATATATGAAACAATATAAATAGCTTCTGGAATATTCCAATTAACTGGTAAATAAAAATGTACTAGACAGTAATTTTTGCAGTGTTTCTCAAATACACTTTTTTCTCTTGTGCTGCCCTATGTTTAAATGTTAAGGCTCAAGAAAGCATGATGGTTTTCTGCTTTAGGGCACATACACTACATGCTTCTTTTAGGCTGGACAGAAAACATGCCTCAGATTTGACTGGACAACTATAATATTTCATAGATCATGTTGCCAGCAGGCTCTGCAGTTTAAGCAGAAAGAACAATTAACAGTCCTTTTCCACATCTTGAGGACTTCAGCAAACACATGGGAATCTGTTCAGCTATGAGGAGTACAGTTCTTTGGTCAGACATTTACTAGTAAAACAAATTACTAGTAAAGCAAAGATCTGCATGTTGAAACCAAAACAATTCAGCCATTAGAATCACTGTATACAACAAGAATTTTGGATTTCTTTGCAAGGCACTGCTGTTGTATGGCACAATCTGTCCCCTCAGAGCTCTGTAGTGGGCCCAGTGCTGTTCAATGACTGTATCAACAACCTTGGCAAAGGGATTGAGTATACCCTCTGTCACTTTGTGGATGACACCGAGTTGGGTGGGAGTGTTGATCACCTGAAGGGGAGGAAGCCTTTGCAGCTCTGGACAGGCTGAATCCATAGGCCAAGGAGAACCTTCAGAGGTTTAACAAGTCAACAAGGCCAATTTCCAGCTCTGGCCCTTGAGTCACAACAATCCCATGCAATGCTACAGGTTTGGGGAAGCGTGGCCAGAAAGATGCCCATTGGAAAAGGACCTGGGGGAGCTGGTAGACAGCAGTTGAACTTGAGCCAGCATCTGCCTGGGTGACCAAGAAGGTCAGTGGCACAGTGTGGCCAGCAGGACCAGACAGTGATTGTTCCCCTGTACTCGCCAGTGGTGAGGCAACACCTTGAACCCTGTGTTCAGTTCTGGGCCCCTCGATAGAGAGAAAGGCACTGGGGTGCTGGAGCATGTCCAGAGGGGGGCAAGAGAGCTGGTGAAGGGTCTGGAGCACAAATCTCTTGAGAAGCAGCTGCGAGAGCTGGAATTATTCAGCCTGGAGGAGGCCCATCAAGGCCCTTATTGCTGTCTATAACTACCTGAAAGAAGATTGTAACCAGGTGGGTGTCAGCCTTTTCTCCCAAGTAACACATGATAGGACAAGAGGAAATGTCCCCAAGTTGCACCAAGGGAGGTTTTGATTGGATACTAATAGAAATTTCTTCACCAAAAAGAAATTCGTCATCTTCTGAACAGGCTGCCCAGGGAAGTAATTAAGTTACCATTCCTGAAGGTATATATAAAAGGCATGTAGATGTGGCATTTAAAGGCACGGTTTAGTGGTGGATTTTGCAGTGCTGGCTTTACAGTTAGGTTCAATGACCTTAAAGATCTTTCCCAACCTAAGTGATTCTAGTCAGGAACCCATGTAAGACAAGTATTCTAGATCTTCTAGACCTTGTCATTCTTATCATTCTCCTTTCACTAGAGATAAACCACTAGCTTTTAAAGTAATCAGCAAAGAGTTAACCACATTCCTTATGGTCTGTAGTCTCAAAATGTTTCCTCAAAGTCCATAACTTTTTTTATAATTGACCAAACATTATTTTAACAGCTGTCTTACCTAGTAAATGAAGTTGTCATAACAAGTGACTTCATTCAAAACACTGGGATCCAACACACAAGCTGATCACCATTCATATCTTGTCCTTAAATGAGGGCATGGGACTTTTTCTCTCTGATGCTTTCCACCCTTATTGCCTCAGCTTTGGGGAGGAAACTGAATGTTAACCTACTGGACAGGTGATTTACAATAAGATCTCCTGTGTAACTTCAGAAGCAGGCTCTAGACTGTTGCAGAGTTTAGGTACTATTTTCCTTGTGACTAGAATGTAGATGTAGATTGCCAGCTGTGCCAAGTTACAAATTGAGTCAACAGAGTAGCAGTTGTTGGAAATTGAAAACAGAATTTGAAGATTCAAACCACATTAAAAAATACCCAAACCAAAACATGCATTCATAATAGAGCAGGAATGAGACATGGAACTGAGTCTCCTTTTGACAGGTCTTTTTCTTCAGACACTTCAACAGTAATTCTATATGCTCAACTAAAACACATTTTACACATAAAATTATCTTGTGTACAGAACATTAAAATAGACATTAATATGAACAAAACAGATAACTGCAGTGCTCAATGCTCTCTACATACAGATACCCTTTTTCTTCATATTGCAAGTGTATTTCTGCTAAATGGACTGTGAAAATCAATAGCAAACTCAATTTGCTAAATAACATTTGTAAGCTCTGACTTGGCTAAGGGAATCTGGACTCAAATGGTTTGTGCAAGCTCACTAGCAAGAACTCCATGGAAATTCTCAATTTTTGCCATGTGGTCACTAGCAGGCAGCTTTGAAAGATCAAAGTAATTAAAAATTAAGATTTAGCCAAAAGGCAAATGGTTTTCCATTAATAAATTACTAGAAATAATTTAGGTATGCTTAGCAATTTTGCAGCTGAAGACATAGTCTTTTGAATAAATCAACACAATCTGAATACGATCTTATTTTCACGAATCAATGTGCTTGGTGATACGAGTTCTAACTCTCTCACAAAGCTGTCACAATTCTAAAATCAAATATGCTCTCTTCATATTTTTTGTATTGTTCATCAGTTGGATGGCAAAACAGCCAATAACCAGAAAAAGCCATTGATACAAATAAAGTGATTTCAGCAGAAAAAGTGTTTTGCTCAGTCACGCCTTGCATTCACCTCTAACTTTAGCAGAATTCCCTGGGACAGTGTGTTCCCTAAAAAGTCAAACAGAGATACCCATAAGGCAACAAGTCACTCTGGCAAAAATAATTTCTCATTTGGGAAGCTGGGCTAAGCAACACTGGGCAGCATTAGGTGCCTCTTCATGGAGGGGCTGAGATCACTGTACCTTTGCTAATACAGCTACAATGGCTCCGTTGTAGATAAGGAAACAGGTGCCCAAATAAACTCCTTACAAGGCCTGAGCAGAGCTGCACGACAGGCTGGGCAAACTCTCGAATGCTCCGTGAGGAAGGTGTCAGGATGAACTTCCAAAGGCTGTGTTCCAGACTGATACATCAGAACCACGGGCACAGAGGACAGACTGAAAGGCTTCTTGGGGATAACCTCTTTGCCGTGTGCTGGCTCTGTCCTCAGAGGTCAGAGATGCCCCCTGGTTTCCATAACCATCCCTGCTTTCTGCACACTGATGCTATAGCCTTGTCCCACTGTGCTTGCAAGGTACATCTGGAACTTCTGCGCTTTCATTTCCAAATTAATTTCTAAGATTTTTTTCCTTTTTTTTTAATCTGGTAAAAATTTTCTAAACCAGATCTGCCTTGTTAGCACCACATTCGACTTTTAAATACTGGTGTACTAGTACTCTTGAGTGGAAAAGCTAGCCCTGTCATGTTTTTGCTGCTTACCAGTTAGGCACGGTCGACCTGAGCTTTTTATTATTTTTTTCAATGCTCTATACTCTTAGTGCACGTGCAGAAACTGGGAAGGAACGCGAGACGAACGCTTTAGTTAGAGGATGCAGGCGACAGAGGAAGAGCACCACAGGTGCTCGCAGGTACAGCGCTCCTCCGCGCCCGAGGGGCGGTGCGGGCAGGACTACAGGACCAGGAGGGGAGGGGCTGAGGGAGCGCCCCGGGGAGCCCGGACACCTCCCACACCCCAAAGCGCTTCTCCCGTCCTTTCTGCGTCCCTCGGTGTCGGGGGCTGCCCTCCTCTCGGAACGCCGTGAGCCGGAACCCCGGGCGTTTCTCGTCAGGGAAGGCGGCGGCCGTGGAAGGAGGGCAGCTCCTCTCCGAGGGAGGCCCTTGCCCCAGCCTCGGCGAAGCCCGCCCTTCAGGGGCAGGTGGCGCATCCTGGGGGAACCTTCCTCCTCCTCCGTCTCCTCCTCCACCTCCTAGCGCTGGTGGCCCGGAAGGGAAGCCCTGCCCCTCCTCCTCATCCAGCTCCCAGGTGGCAGCGGCCATCTCCGTGCGTCCCCGTTCGCTGCCTCCGCCGCTCCGCTCCACCTGTAGCGCGGCCGTGGGGCGGGCAGAAGACGAGTGCCTCCCGCTTCCCTCCGCCCGCCCTGCCTCCCGGGACACGGCCGCCGCTTCCTCCCGCTCCGGCTGCGGCCCTGACGTCGCTTCCTTCCAACATGGCGAGGGCAGGTTGTTGCTGCGGCCGCCGCCGCCGGTGCTGATNGCTGCCCAGCAGGGAAGGGCCGGGAGCGGTGGGGTCGCGGACTGAGCCGTGGCACGGGTTTGGGTAGTGCAGCACAGTTCCCCGGAGGTGTGGGCGCCCTGGGCTGCGGGCGAGCATCGCCCCTCGCCGGGAGCGGCCCCGTGCTGACAGCAGTGGCGAGGGCGCTGCGGCGCCTGTCGGGCTCTCCTCCTCCTCCTCCTCCTTCCCTCCTCCTCCCCGCTCGCAGGATGAATAGGCAGACACGGAGCTGAGCTGAGCTGACCTGGAAGCAGACGGCCGGCGGGGAGGGAGCAGGTGACAGGCAGTGGTGAGGGAGGAGGGAAGGGTGAGGAAGAGGGGGTGGCGGAGAACGAGAGACAATGACACCAGGCCGTGTCTGGAGCTGGTGGCCCTTCGGAGCCGGGAGAAGAGCTGGAGAGGGAGAGGGATGGTCCGGGAGATGTGCGAGGGAGAGCCTTAGGCGAGTCGATCGTGGTGGAGAAACAGCTGATGGGGAAGAGAGCTTCCTTCATGCATGGCAGAGCTGGAGCGGCCACGGATGATAAGAGAATCACGGAGTTCTTAGGGTTGGAAGGGACCTCTGGAGATCATCTAGTCCAACCCCCATGGTGTTGGATTCCCAAGATGTGGGGACGTTTGCCTGCTTCGGGCCGAAGGAGGGGTGTTGGGTTTGTAGTGCAGCTGTGTCAGCGCCGCCTCATCTGGAAGTGTCAGGGAAGTACCGGTGCTGGATAGTACAAAGCACATGTAGGCATCCAATTACAGGCAGCTTAAAAGGACAACTTGGGCTTCACGATTCTGACATGATGAGTACAGGCGGGGCTTGAACCTATGTTGCAAAATACTGATATATTTACTGTAAGAAAGACCTGTTCTATTTAAGTAATATGTAAATGGATTATGTCCCTCCCTTTCTAGTGTAATTGTTTCTGTTTTGGAGATAATTATCTTGATTTTGTGCAGCAATAATATCTGTTTAAACGGATTTGTTTGAAGAGAGAACACTAAATTGAAACTTGCTTGTTTTAAAAATGAGCATAAGTAATTCAAAGTTGTTCTTTTGTCATCCTATTAATTCGTATGTTAGTGTTTACTTTTTTTTTAAAAAAAAACACAGTCCTTTTCTTGATTTCTTGGTGAAAGATCCTGACAAAGGGAAGGACAGAAATAACCATACTTCGGCTATTTATTTTCTTCTTAATTAAAATTGATGAGAAACAGTTTTTTTCTTACATTTTTCATATATCACTAGAATGGTTAACAATAATCTTATGACTTATGCAGATGAAATTAAATTGATAACCCTTTGGCCCTTCTGTTGACTTTAGACTGTGCATTCAAGTTAGAAATAAAACAGAAAAATGTTTTTTTTACTGTAAACTGAATTTCTATCCAGTCTGTATGTCATCCAGAGAATTAGACACTGATACTAATCTTGTGTTTCTGTGGTACTTTATTTCAGTAGGTCGATCTATCTTAAGTATCATCAAGATGCCCCCAAGCACAGCTCCACTGTATTTCACAGATTATAAAGCAAGCCCTCTAGACAGTACAGTCTGACTGTTGTGTCATGTACACCGATTTGTGTGAGGAGACCCTCAAACACACATCCCAGTGGTTTCTGTCCTCAAGCTTCACTGAATCCCTCTCCTGTGGATCTGATTGGGGCTTAAATAGGAAAGCAGTGTGATGTGGGTGTAAAAACCATTAAGGCAGGAAAGAAGAAATGCAAGGTTGTGTTTACTGCCTTATGTGTATACAGGGGCTTCATGAACTTGAAAGAAATCAGACATGCTGTTAACTACTATAGAGGCTTATTGAATTTTTTTTTCTGTTACAGTACAACAAAATACAGTTAGTGATTGTAAATTTAGCATGGACCATTGTCTGGTTTTATGCATGATGAGAGGTGACAATATGTAACTCCTGAGTAGAGCAATGGTGACATCTGTCTATAAGAAAATTTTTGGAGAAAAGTGCATATCATCGATATTTTACATACAGTACAATCAGCTGTAAAGCTGAGCTATGATTTTTGGAGCAGTATTTGAAATAGGATGCAGGTGTTGTGCTCTGTCCATTTGGCTGCTCATCTGCTGACGCTACTCTTCAGCTGGTCACTTCTTTGCCACCTTAAGCAAGGGGTATGGACTTCTTCCTCCTGAGATATTGCTTTACTTTGAAGAGCAGCAACATCAATGATAAAACATTAGTAAAAGTGTAATTTAGAGTTTAATTTAATTTGGTGCTAAAATTGGCAAAGTCTGACTTGACAGTTTTATTGGATTTTTTTAAATGGTAGTTAAATAAAAAGTAGCTTTTAAAAATTATGGCAGTACTTCATATCTCTAAATCCATATCTCCATATCTTTCAAATCAACATTTTTTTTTAGTGTAAATATTTAATTGATTAGTCTTCACTGAAGTTATCTGTTCTCCATTAAGATTTTTTTTGCCAACTGTATGACTGTAGTAAAATGTTGCTTTTTATTTACTACTACTAATAGGTCAGATAATCTAACTAGTAGGTGATACTAGTGCAAGCTTTTTTTGTTTCATTCTCTAAAGCCACCATTTACATTGTTTTACATTGTTTGCGTAACATGATCTGCTATTGAAGTATTTGATAAATGAGCAATGATCAGAAATACAGTATCCCTGTATAACAGGCAAACTAATAGCTCTGCTTTTTAGATTGAAATTAACAAGCAGTATTTTAAGAACCTTTAGTGCTCTCCATCATTTTTGATTAGAAGATAAGAAAACAAAATATGAATTAAGTATTGCAACCTGAATTATAGATGTTCTGTGGCTTTTTAGCAGGAATAAAATTAAGTCTGATACTTGTAGCATCCCATATTTGATGATTCACCAGGTTGTGTCTGGGTTTATACAGAACAGTTGATTTTAATTTAACTTCGTCCATTCTGGAGAGGTTTTCTCTCTATGTGGAAAACATAAGATTTCTTTAGTCACCTAGTGAAGTACAGCTAATTTAGAATTTGTATCATTTACTTTCATAGCAGCAAGCCTTAATCTATGTAAAGAGCGAGTCCTTGAAATTGTCTGCTTGCAGAAAGCATCAGGCAGCAAGCTGTCAGAAGGATTAGATTTAGAAACTCCTTCTCCAGTGAGTTACCTCCACTGCTGTTTCTGTATTTCTTTTCAGCCATGCTACATTGGAAACCTTACTGTAAACATACTGTGTTTGCATAAATGATGAAAGGTCCTGGGAGGGGGGAAAGTCCTCATCTGAACAAAAACTATTAGTGCTTCCTGTCGAAATCAGGAGCATGGATTTTTCTGTCTGAAAAGGTGGTTTCAGAGCACTGAGCTGGGCAAACCAGAATGCCCTGCTTGTATAATCTCTGCTAGTTCAACTGCAAATCAGGAGTCAAACAACTCTTCCACAAAACTCCAAACCACAAGTAATATGAAATTACATGAATATGTCCCTAGTATGTTCTTTAAAGAAAAATGTGCATGTGCTGCCTGAAGTTCTGGAACTACCAACTGAAGAGGGCCAAAACTTAGTGCTGCTTGTATGGTTTATTTTAGTCTGTTATGCAAGGATCCTGCTGGATGATGTAGGTCTCATGCAGTGTGAAAGTAGCGTCTCTGTTTCGTTTGTACTGCCTTTAAGTGTATGTGTAGGATGATGGAGCAGTGGGCTATTGTTAAGCACTTAGTTTCTCTGAAAATGAGTAATGCTTGGATTAGAACTAACCCAGAGGTTTGAAGGTTCATCTATGTCCTTATCTGTGCACATCTGCAAATGACCTCTCACCTACTTAGGTTTTTCTATCCTAGGTTCATCTTGTATCCTTTGAATACACATTGCAATCAGCAATCGTGATACATGAGTGTGGTTAACAGGTATTTAATACAGAAACGCGTGTATATGTTGGAAACTCTGGGTGCATTGGAAAATACCTTCCTACCCTATAATGAACAGTTAAAAATGCATTTTGAAGACCATTATTGTGTTAGTGCACTGAAGTTAATTTTACTGGAGAAGTTGTGGATAAGCTAAATTCCTCTTTGTATTTTAGATAGTGCTGTTCTTGGAAGGCTGCCTTCTATTTTTCATGAAAACTAATTGCCCTTTTTTAGAAACTGAAGGTCAGAATTTTTGGAGACTTTTCTATGCTAGGTACAAAGAGATTGGTATTGCAGTATTATTATGTGTTGTCTTCATGTGCTATAGGCATTTTTTTTTTCCACAATACACAAATGACTTGTCCATAAAAAAAATTGTTTCTGGTTGCAATTGTCCTTCTGAAACACTTACTTTTAAACAAGGAAGAGAAATGGAGATTTCATGCTAGTAAAAACCAAGATGTATGTTTTGGTTTTTTTAAAAAACCAAAACCCCTGAAAACTGCAGCTGCCCTTCCCTACTTTTGCTTGCTTTACTGAGCTTCAGCTTTAACTAGCAAGCTTTCTGTGTGGTTAAAATCTCGTCTTCTTCTGCAAAGATTTAAGGCTTGGCTTGGTAACAATAAGGTTTGGTTGGCCCTATAAACTGTTCTCCAGGTTGCCTTCAGCGTTTTATATGTAAGGTGCTGTTCATGTAGAATTTCTGGGGCTAATTTAAGGAAGGTTGTGTATATTTAAATATTTTGTTGTTTCAAATGTAATCAGATCTTGGCTGTGCAAAATGGCAGTGCTGGTGAGATTTAATCTCTTTTGAGAAAGGGGATGGTTGGCAGGGTATATGTAAAAACTTTTCTAGAAAACAGGATGGATTGTATCTGGGTCAGAAAAATGTTAATGGAGAGTGAATATCAAATACGTAGGTTTTGTCTTGGCAGTTAAAAATGGTATGTGTTTTAGGTAACTGGCTTTATCCTGTAATACATGTTCTGTTAAAGCCTGTAGTATTTTGAAAGTTTAAATGCTGATTTTCACAATCTTTTAAAATTTAATCTTGAAAGACTTGAACATATCTTTGTGACACAGGACAGCTTTTAAATACCTGTGTTCTGCTGCATATTTTAGAGCCTTAATTAGAATTTTGAAGCCTAAAATGAGAAGTTTGTTGCCTTGTGACCAGAATGCATCTATTGCTTGTAAGAACTATTTTTACTGTCTTGTGGGGCTTTAGTCTAGTTGATTTTTCTTCCTATACCTTTTTCCAGTGAATAACTGCTGTGGTTGTAATCTTTTCCTTTTTTCTCTTGGTTCTTGTTTCCAGCTAACCATTGTGTCATTCATTCAGGATGACAACTGTGTCTGTTCTTATGTGTCTTCTTCATATACAAATGAAAAAATTTAGCTCAGCTGTGGATATCAGTTGTACATTCCAGACTTTTTCTAGAGTCCTTCAGAGGGCAGTCAGTATTGAGGTAGTATTTTGATAAGATTTTCTAAATATTTAAACTTGTGCAGTTGTCTGGAAGGATTTTGGTGTTTATGGGTGTTTTATAAAGAGGGAAGCATCAACCCTTGGTGTTCTAGTCAGTCTCTCCTGTTCTTGGCAAACATCCTAGGTGAAATCACAGACTTACAAAGTCGAGTAGGGCTTGACTTTTTGGGGGGCACCTAGCTGTCAGTTTGGGGGTTTCATTAGTGTTGATACTTTAATCAGGTTGCTGATCAGTTTGTACTTAAAATGAATGCTGCCAGGAGCTTGGGAAGCAAGACCTGCTAACTTGCCCATAAATTGTCTTCCATTCTGCAACAGCCAGTGGTATATCAGTGATTCAAATAGGCAGG